ACAATCCAGTCTTCTCTGAAGTCGGTCATGTCAGTGATTGGCTTCGGTTTGGTTGCTGCGCGGATGAGCGGCGCCTCTGCGCGGCCGTTGTCGATAGCACTGTTTTCCTGTAGCGTCTTGAACATGTTGAGCATAGCTTTCTCGAGCGTCTGTGGAACGCTGCGACTCTCGCTTGCCCAGCGGCGCCGTGGCTCCCCCAACGGGCACCTTCGCGCATGATGCGCCTGGCCGCGCTTGATCGACGGGTGGGCTCACATCGACCTTCCTGCGCACATTCCCCTGGTCGAGCCACGCGGGGGAATTCCAGGATTGCAAAAGAAATGGGCACAGGGCATCTCGAACTACACCTGAAAGTGCGCTTGGCCTGTTGCTTCGGCTAATCCAAGCGACCCGGCACCTACACCTGGCACCCCCTATCTCAGGCGGGCGCGGCGCAGATACACGTTGCGAAATTTGCCCTTCACCCCTTAAGCCCAACGGTAGCCGACGCACGCTCGAAGTCGCCGGGTCGGCCTGAGGGGCGGCTGGCGAAGCTCCGCGACGCGTCGCACCCCTGCTTCCAGGATCAAATTCTCCGCATGCACGGGGCCCAAAAGTGGGCGCGTCTTGGCCCCTTCGCGGCGGGCCAGGACGCCGTCGGCCCCCCTGTCGACGGCGACTGAGTTGGAGAACCTGCCGCAGGGGGGCGTCGACCTCCGAACGACGCGGGCCGGCCGTGGACGTCCTGGCGATGAGGAAGCCGAGCCCCCTGGGCCCCCTCCAGGTCGAAACGCGTTCTTGGAACCCAAACCTTGGAAGCGATCGGGCTCTTTCTCGCCCTCGCCCTGGCTGCCGCTGGCGCGCTGGCCGTTCTCCTCCATCCTCTGGCTCTTTCGCTGGTGAGCAGGCTCCAGTTATGCGCGGTGCCCCTGGGGTCATGGATGTCCTGCGCGCCCTCGCCGTGCTCTTCGGTGTCATTTCCTTCTTGCTGCGGAAGCTGTTGTGTCTCCAGTGGCTGCGTCGGCGAGATCGATCTCGCTTCTGGCGCCAGCCCTGCCGATGCTGGCGAATTTGGAATGTCCGCTGGCAATCGCCGGCGCAGTCGCTGCACCCAGCGATGCTTGTTCGGCTGGAACAGATTCCGCATCGGAGCCAATATTTTTCTGGAGTGCTTCCACACGGTGGGTGCTCACGAACTCCACGTGCTGCGTCATCTTCTCCATCGAGAACGGGCCGGGCGGGCGCTTACCCCGCGGTGCTGGCTGGTTCTTGTTCTTTTTTAAACATATTTCAGTCGCGCCTCAGGTTGCTGAAGTGCCAAGTAGGCTGCAGGTAGCTCGTCGTGGACATTGGATCCGACCTTGTCTCACGGAGCTTCACGTAGTAGCTATCCCAGTCCCCACGTACATCTTCATGATTTGCTGCCTGGGCTTTTGGTGCCCTGCTGGGAGATAGCCGTGGGTCGCTGAACTGCTGGGCGATGCCCGCGGTGCGCTGGGTTCCTTGCTCTCGCTGCCTGCGCCTGCGGTTGCAACTCCTTCTGGCACGGCTTTCTGGCTGATATCTACCACGTTGAGCTGTTCTGCTTTCGCTGCCATGATGCGCGCATGAGCTTCCTCTTGCTGCCTCTTGCTGGCTCTTCTTCAGCCATCCTTTGTGCCCGATGACCTGGGCGCGATCTTGAAAGTTGAAGAGGTCCTCTGTTGGCGTCTTTGGTGAGAACCCTTCATGATGCCTCGTGTCCAGCACGGTCGCTTGCAGCTCGGTCTCTCGCGTTGCCGGCACTGCGACTGGCGTTCGTATAAAAAACCTTATGGCTTTGATGTTATGCCCGCATGTTTCTCGAGCTCTTCTGTAGCAAGCCATTGCGCACCTGCTGCGCCGCGACCATCTCCATGAGCTGGCCGAACTGCTGAGTTGTGCTCGTTGTTCGGCGTCTCGGCGCTGGTCGAACTCACGTCCTGCTGCGGCCATTCCCCTGCCGGGCGCGCTCGTCTTCCGCTGCTGCGATGGGGTTGTCCAGCTGATAACTTCGGCTGGGATGCCATGCTCTCGTCATGAAAAAAAACTCCTCCGTCTCGTCCTCCTCACTGGGGTCGTCGTCCGCGCCCTTATCCTCTCCATGTCTGTCTCTGATGGAGTCTCGCAGTTCTTGCTGGGGGCGAAGTAGAACTGCATGCATGCCTCCCCGATGTTGTTTTAGACCGCGACCCTTTCTTTAAAAAAATCATTTGATGATGTTTTTTCAATCAGTCAACGCTCTTCCCGTGACCTTCCACTCTGGCAACTGCATGCTTCATGATGTCCAGGGTGTACTTTATCATGAATGTGTTGTGTCTGGACTCATGCATGGTGGTCTCCGCCCTTTCGGACTGTATGACAGCATATATCTTGAATTTGAACGGGCGACTCAGACTGTCGTCTGTCGTCTGTTGTAGCTTCTGCTTCTTCACGACTTGCCATGGGGATCAAGTCTATGAGTTTCTGGACTGCTGGGTCCCTCGTGGGTGGGGTTCGTTCTCGGGCTCTATATTG